CTCGGTTACTACAGGTTTGACCCTCGGTTACCACATATATCTATCAGTGAGTATAAAGTAAAAAGGTATTAATCACATTGTTTTCATTTGGAAATATTGGCACGTGGAAAATTAGGGAAAACAAAAACTTCAGGAGGAGACAACAATTTATTCAAGGCAAGAACAAACTAAGAATGGTATACAAAAGATAAGCCACGAGGGAAATTTACAGAGTAGTAAGATATAAACATAAAAATGACCACTTTGTTAATGAAAATAATAAAATTAATAAATACATCGCTACAATATACTAACAGGATATGAGTATAATATAGAAAATATGTCAGCCCATGTCCAGCAATGGCCACAGCCTTGCAGAAAATTGACATGGACCCAGAACAGTAACTTTACACTCTCAAGATAGAAAACATTGCTGTGATAGAGATTTCTACACTACATGTTTTAATGCAGCAACGCGACATCTATATATAATTAAAAACACAAGCACCCAAGTTTCTTTTAAACATAAAACAAACTTCTACTGTCCTTACTGCAATGAAAATTATTTACAGTAATCCCTCGTTAAGACGAACTCAACGGGAGAACGAAAAACCCTTTTCGTCTTAAAAGAATATATACCGAATTCGTATAAACCGAATTCGTATTAGACGAATTGAATTCGTGGTATCCGGGGGTTGTACTTATGTACCACTGATGAGTAAGAAAACTACATTTCTGAGGAATAACGAATAAATTTATTTGATAACAATAATAATGAAAAAAATATTTTATAATTTTAAGGAACAACAATTATATGTATATGTATGTACATAAAGTATTTTATTTTAAAATACAATATGGATAATATAATCACAATGTAAGGCAATAACATGAGAATATAAGTTTATTTTAAAACACAAATAAAAAAGAACAATAAAAGAAACAACTTTCATAATATACTTGGTACATACAATGTTTATGTGTATGCAGCATATGCAGTATGCATAGAGTATCCTATATTTGGGTTTTCTCTGCAGGCTTCAGAAAGTCTGTTATAGTTTTTTGGTGGTATTTGATTGGGCACTGTTTCAGACACTCCCTTCTTATTTTATCCAGCTCATCTTCAAAATGAACATCAATATCCGCAGAGGTTTTGGACAGCTTCTGGAGGGTTTCGAGGGCCGCGATTACTTCCCCTCTAGTAGGCATCATTATCTCTTCTTTCACCTCATCGTCTTCTGTTTCTTCTTCTTCTTTCTTCTTTTCTTCTAATTCGGGTGAACCGCAAATTTCCAACCCTTCATCCAGATCAATGGCGCTTTTTTTTCGCGGTTTAGATGACATGTTTATGTAGGTTTTTTTATGGAAGCTCAAACAATTCACACTTCGATTATTTAGAATTTAATAATTTTTATTTCAAGCGCATTATTTTATAATACAATCAATTAGTCGGTTATAAAAAAAAGAGAGATATAACAAATAGAAATAAGTCCTTTTTCTTCTGAGAGCTCGATTTACACAGACTATTATTCACAGAATATATTTTCATTATCTATATTATATTTAATATTTTTAAAAGTATGTTTTGTATAAAAATAAGAATAATATAATATTCTGTGAAATTCCGTGAAAGCGTGCGCTCCTTGGCTGCTGGCTGGCAGGGGTCACCATGGCGCCTACATTTATCAGTCGAGAAAAACAGCAATACTGGCACAATAGAGTCGAAATTTTCCACTGATTGAGTACATGGAACGACCCCAAGGGGATGGTTTCATAGAAAATGAGTCATCATAACAAACAAAGGACGAATGTTTACACAAAAGACAAAGAGAGCCAATACTTTATATCAACGGCGTTTTTGTTGTTTTAATAGTTTATTGTTTTACTTATTACTCGCCTTTAAAAACATATTATAATTCGTTTTAACCGATTGATTAGTTCTGCTGGGGGCTAAATTTAATTCGTATTTCGTCATAACCGAATATTTCGTCTTAACCGGCAAAATCTCTTTGGAAAGCATTGAAATTTAACGGGAGAAAAGAAACGGTTCGCGCAAACCGAGAGTTCGTATAATACGAGTTCGTGATAACGAGGGATTTCTGTATTAGGAAGGCTTAGTTCATCAGTGGTGAATCCTCCCAGCTGTTTCGTTAAGTTAATCTACCAGACCGCTTCTTTAGAGTTATAATACTGTATTGAATCATTCTGCATAGATACGCTGCACTGAAGGGTGGAATCTTAGAAATGGTATTTAAGTAAACTATGGATATAAGCTTTTAGGAAAGTAGAATTACATTTTATTGTTAGGTACTGGAGGAGGTGAGAGAAGTTTTCCGTCAAAAGATTTGGTTATGAAAACCATTCGCTTTATGTGTGTTCTTCTGTGTTCTAAAATAATTGTAGAATATATACATTAAGTACTCAAAAAGTAGTTAATTCGAGTTTCTTACATTACTGGAAATTAGTGACCTCTCTATCGTTCCGGCCAGATTTCTTCCAGGGTCATTTTGATCATTTGTTTAATTTGTCTCCTCGTCTGCTTCTTTCTTTCCCTCTTTTTTTAGGAGAACAGCCCGTTGAAGAACGTTAGATTGCCCCTTCTTTCTCCCTCTTTTCCCCAAACATTCTCCTTGTGATATAACATGACCTTAGTAATGGATAACATGGGCTATGATCCAAAATCTTCAATGAGGAAGATACAATATGCCATCTTTGCAAAGAAAAAAAAAACGGAATTGAAATATCTCATTACATCTTTGAGGTGGTGGTGGTGGTGTCTTGTCCATGGAGCAGATCAGATCGGTACATGCACCCTGATCAAAATACCGGCCAACAAAGATGCCTTGTTCGTATGGATGTCCTCTTCTGGATTGATGTTTGCCATATAGAGGGTTGCAAGGATGATTTTGTTGCTCTATGGAAAGAGGGGAGTGCCATTGCCCCGTTAGTCAGCCACATTTCAGAGTTCCCTGTAGGCTTTCACGGTTACCGTAGCGGCTCGGGACTTACGAAATCCCCAACGTACTTCACCCTACGGAGCAGTCCCTTACTTACTTGTGCTGCTTCTCCCGCCCACCACGTAGAGGAGGAGTTGGACTTCTGGGCAGGACATCTTTGAGTGCCAGTATATTAACGAAGAAAGAGAGATGCTCTTCTCAAAAGTAAATGACTGCCAACTTACCTCAGTACAAAGTATTTTAACCAGCGCCATATCAAGTCGAATGTTTGCTCTGTCCCTATATAACTTTTACAAAGCAGTAAGTAGGAACTTTTCTCCTCCACTACATGATGGATCATCGTGAGGATATCGTTGTAAGCCGGCAATGAGAGAGGAGAATCTGACTGGTGTCTTAATAACGGCTTTGTGTGTGTGAATAAGGCAGGGATCGGCAAACTGCGGCTCGCGAGCCACATGCGGCTCTTTGGATGTGAAGCTGTGGCTCTTTATATAGTTCCATAGGTAAATATTATTTATGTGAATACTATTTATTGTTGGCAAGAAAGAAATGTCGTGGCTCTTTAAAAACTTTGAAATTTTGTAAATTGTAATTTTTTACTCTTTCGACTCAAAAGTTTGCCAACCTCTGGACTAGGGTTATGAGATAGAGTGGTTCACTAGCCGAATTTATTTGGTAGCGTTGTGGATAGGCTAATGTTTTTCTACCTAGGTAAGGAAGCATTTATTGCTGCTCTGCCTAATACACCATTCTTCTAGCCAGAATTCATTGCCATTTATCAATGATCCTAAATAAACATAAGAATTAATAGTTTGTTAAATGTTAATGGTTGTATTAGTTATTATTGTTATGATCTTTGTTTCATGAAAATTGATAAACCGTCCAGTTCTCTATTGCTTACTTCACCAAGGTTATTTATAACTTGTGATACTTCTGTAAACTGTTTTTTTTTTCCTTCAATGAGGCTGTGTCATTAGCATAGCGCCCATTTGCGATATAGTACGACCCCCCGTCCGGAATCAATTTTCTCAATATTTAAAAGTATTTAGAAAATATTCATCGGTAGAGGTTAAAGGTCTTATGAGAAGATGCAGCCTTGATGCATATTTCTTCTCCCCTTAACTCCCCTTAATTATGTCTCGAAACTGTTTGAGTTATTCTGTTCCAATATATTGTATATTATTATTATCCTTAGTACACGTGGTACAGGCCATGATAATCATGGTGGGTAGAATTTGGTTACTGCTTTTACTGTAAGTGCACCACATGTCTACATATGTGAAAAACAGTTCGACTTTGCACTTACAAATTTGCCAGAGCCCCGTTTGATTACTTGCATTCGCTGGTGGGGTTGGATTTTTTCAAGAATCGGGAGCCATTGGAGAATTTTTTTTTTCTTAATTAGAAAAGAAAAAGTGCCCAATGCGGGAATCGAACCCGGGTCGTAGTGGTCGAAAACCAACGGTCTTAAAAGTGTGTAAAGTCGTATATTAATACAAAGCAATAACGTTTCATCTATATATAACGAATGAAGACATTAAGACGCAAATGTTTCTTTTCACAAATAAATCAAACTTCAACTGTCGTTATTACGATGAAAAAATTTTGGGAGGGCTTGACTATATTACAACAGATCGGTTTAAAAGGTCCAACCATAAGTAATTCTATGTAAAGAGTTTGAATTCTAAATCTGTGAGAATGAAATAAGATGCCAGAGAAAGAAGATTCATTCTCATCGAATTACAGAATGGCGAAGAAATCTTAGAAATGGAAGTTCCTCTAGAAGCATTCTAGAGATTTTTAGAATGGATCTGTGTATCTCTATAAAATCTCTATCCACTATACCGAAAACATACAAGTACTATACAATGGTATTTTATTTTATAATATAATATAATGCGGCTTATGATTGTAAAACGACATTTGAAAATTATCCCGCATGTGTTTCTTTTGAACGAAAAATCGAAATGTATTTTAAGGATAAATAACAATTTTTTCTAACCTTATAGGGATGAAGTATGAAAGGATGAATTCTAAAAGTAATGATAAACGGTAAAATAAAGTGTCCAGGGATGGGAATCGAACCCACAGTGTTACGCTTACCGGGCAGATGCCATGTCCACTAGGCTACCCTGGACATATTTCTCCGTTCGTAAATATTATATAAGGTAATTTACAATACAATATAATGCGGCTTATTATTGTAGAACGACATTTGAAAATTATCCCGCATGTGTTTCTTTTTGAACGAAAAATCGATTTTTTTTTTTCGGGATAATTTTCAAATGTCGTTCTACAATCATATATATGTTATAAGGTGGAATCCTCTGGTGTATAATAAGCAGCAAACATAAAATAAATTCCGAGGATAAGTTTCTTTTAAAAATATTTTTATAAATAAAAGAAACTTATCCTCGGAATTTATTTTATGTTTGCTGCATATATATGTTATATAAAGATATTATTTTATTTTAAATTATATAATTTCATAGATTCAAATGCTCTGCTAGGTCGACCGCCAGAGGTCACTCTTTCCCTATAA